ACTTGGTTCTGAGATTTTGTATTCATTTATACAGGATATTCATTTATACAGTATTCATTTAGACAGGTTTGACTGTACTCAGTTATAGAACATTATCTGATTGGTTGATGCAAATCAATTACCCGGTAACATACGATTTGTTATATATGATTTTTGGGCCCTTTTTAAATAAATTGTTACACGAATTTTTTTGCAAACGAAATACTTGTCACAAGTAATAGAAGTGCTTCTATAGTACTTAGACGAGATAAAAGCCAATAAAAATCAATTAAAATGGGTATACTAGCTGGTATACTAAGCTATATAAAGAAGCACTAACATTATTTGTTAAAAATATTCGGGTGTTTTAGGAAAAGTTGGATGGGTTGGTCATTTTACGATAGGAAATATTCAAGAAAACAGCCTTTTTAATCTATTTCTGGCCTATAATTAAATATGTAAAATTTATAATTTTTGATACATTTAATTACTTAATTATAGACTCATGTAGGTTAAAAAGACTGTTATCATGAAAATTCGCTTTGTAATAATTTTTGAGTGAAGAATTTCACACAAATCTTCAAATTTACATTTTTAACCCCTAAGAGGTTAGCTAAAACAAAAAAAAAGATTCGATCATCGATAGAAGAGTTGTAAAGAATCAAAAAATACCTTTATAATCACACAGTTCGTATCATGCCAATTGCGTGATTATATAAAGGTGAAATTCTGTTTCAACATAAGTAGACTCTAAACCTAAAATAATTCTATTCCGACGTATGTACGTACGTACATCAACACCCCTACAAAATGCATTGTATTTCCCGATGATTTAAAAGCAAAATTATGCAATGATTCTTGCCGATCCCTGTTACATTCCGAGCCCAATCTCCAGTGGTATAAAAATTTGGTTTCGCGTTTATCACGCAACAAATTGTTTATAATTGTGCTAACTTTAATTAATTAATATTTGGTCACACTTCATACGTACGTACGTATAATTGCAATTATTTGGTTAGAAACTCTTTATTATCAAGTTTGATGGATATGTGCTTTGATACACCATGGTATTCTTTTATGCCAAAAGTACGAAAGTTTATATCTGTTATATATTTTTAGTCTGATTCCATTCAACACAAAATAGGACTATCTGTCATCGAATCACAAGGGCTTCAATATTTACCTAACAAAGAACCGATTAGCCTATTTTATATTTTATGTGTATTACCAATGTGTGAATGCATGGCAAAAATAATTCAATAAAAAAAACTGGAATGCCTATTTGTTTTATTTATTATTCAATTCGTTTTTTCCATTAGTCCCTTTTGATATATCGATATCTATTACTCTCTTTCATTATGACGAAAAACTTCATACAATTACCAAATGAAATAATTATAGAGATATTAACTAACATATCCACAAGGCAATTGTGTCGTAATTTCATGGTTCTTTCGCGTACCATTAATTGTGAGATAAAAAAAATAATCATTTCTCGATTCAATGCCACTTTTTGGAGTCCACATAGAAGGTTATTGGTACGTATGCTTTTATCTTTTATACTCTTCATTTATTGTCATTAACTCCTGCTTTTCTTTGTTCATAAGGTCATTGTCACAAAATATTTGTTGGATTTTGTACCAGTATATAACGCTTTCGATTTGGCTTTTAACAAATTAGATGATTTTGTCGCCACGTTCTCTCTTGATCATTCACAGCCAATTGGCACTTTAGGTCCAAAACATGAAAAGCTATGGGGTTTCAAACTTCGAGGTAATGGTATACTTCGTGGTGACCCATTGAATGAACCAATGATATATACTGAATGGGATCAATCAACTGAAACGAAAGGCGTAAGAATATATGTATTTGACTCGAAAACAGATGAAGACCATCCGTTTATAAATGCATTTTTCATAACTAATGGTCTACTGAAAACACCAACTGATGTTGGTGAAGAATCAAATGGTTCGTGGTCATGGGACCTTACTGGTAAAAACAAGAATAAATTACCGAGAGCTAAGCTTTATGGTAAAAATGTAAAGAAACAATCTGTTAATGGAGGCTTTACAACTTCTTGTTTATTGGAATCGGTTACTGTTAAAGTCTCAATGGTGATGGTTGCCATTGAAGAACAGTGTAAAGATAAATTTGTTGATGGTGTGAAATATTTGATAATAGATGGTGGTCAACAATTTTTGAAACGAAGAAAAGGTTGTGTCATATCTTAGTCATTCTTGTATAGTCATCACTCTAAAACTATATTTACTCAATCCGGAATCATTAATTATTTTCACAATTCTATATTTTAAAGTTTGTGTATGCGCGTCAACGTGTTTAAATTCGTATGTACACGAACAATTTGCAAGGTTAAATGAACGAAATTCAGTAGTAAAGTTCTTACAATTTTTTCCAAGTGTAATTTTCTTTCTTTGCCACCGTATTTGCTACTACTATTGTAGGGCAGTGTGTCAATGGAAGTCACTAGAAAGCCGATATTAATAGTACCACTGGAATTTTTAATATTAGAAAATTCCGCCGGAAGGTTCTAAAATCCCATTGAAAGTAAAAAAAAAAAAAAAAGACAATTTGTAGGGAGAATAATCCTAATAATTATACCATATAACTATTTAATATATACAGTATCACGGAATTCGAATTACAATAGAATCTCAAAATTCCACTTTTGTCTCGATACCCACCACCCTTCACTATCAAGGTTACATAAATTTTTTCAAAAATCTCGGATCGGAATTTATCAGAGCTAGAACGGCATTAAGCAATACCATATGGGGAATGGACTAGGAAAACACTTTCAGATAGGTCAAATTTCGTTAGGTTATGACTGCCGTTTTTTGGGGGTCGTCTAAAGCGGGTGCACATTCACGTGATCACGGCCAATCAAATTATGAGTTCGCCAGAACGACCCCCAAAAGTGCGAGTCAGATGATAAGATGCCACAACCACTGCATAATTTCTTAAAAAATGGTTGAATCGTCTAGCCTCCGCATTCAGCTTTATTATTGTAAAATTTCTTAACCCGATTTATGCAACAAAGCAATTTGCTACTGGTTAGGCTGTGCAATGATTCAACTCATGTAGCACTTTTGGGGGCCGCCCTGGCGAACTCAACTCATCAAATTATAGAATTTTGATGATGCAAACAAGAAACAAAATCATATAACTACCTAAAACCTAACCTAACTCTAATATAAGATGACACTAACCCTAAAGTTAATGAGTTGCCCCGTTTTTAGAGAATAGATTAGTGGGTCTAGGGATGGCAAATGTTTTAAAACGCGATCTTAAAAATCATGTTTGTTTGATATAAATCTGTTAAAAAATGTTTTAATACGTTATGACGTAATTTGATCTGATTGCGTAATTTAGTATTTATGATTACTACCGTATATAGTACCCCCCTGGAATAGTATCCCCCCTTTTTTTTACAAGCGATTTGTGGTCCAGTTTTCATATTAATAGTGCGATCTTTT